ACTAACATGGTCCTTGGGGTTTTTTTGTGCAGATACTTGGAGGTTTTAAGTTTCCTTAAACTGATTGTGATTCTGTGAGGAAAAATATTCAGTACTAGTGTTTATGCTACTCATCAGCTCACAGTCAATAGGGCCTAGAGATTTACAGTAATTTAGTTCCTTCTCTTAAAGCAAGACAGGACAAATTATATTCAAACCATCTGGGACATAAATTTGTTTAACCTGTACTTACAGCCTTCTGGAGTGGCAATTTCCACCACTTCCTTGCACACAGTCACAGTTAGAAAGTATTTAGGAAATGGGATGAAAGGTTTATTCACTTCCCCTGTACAGGTACCATAGCCAGAATATGGTCACTTCCCTCACTGGTCTTTGCTTTGGATTTACCATCCTCAGTTGCTTCAATTGTTCCTCATAGATGGTGTTTTCTAAAATCCCTCAAGCTTGCCAATCAGTCATGGTCATGAAAAACAGTGGTTATCCTTTAAAATACTAAGACAGCAAAAAAAAAGCAAGTATATGTAATGAAAGATTCTCTGCTAATTCAGAAGTTATTTTACATATTTTCTCTGCTATAATAAATTATCTAACTGCAAAAACCATGCATGTAAAAAGAATTCTGCAGTAACTGCTTAAATCTCCAGTGGATTTAGAAGTCTAAAAACTGCTCTATTTTTTAGATATGAAGTATTATTCAACCCTATTTAATTAATGTAGTGTAGATCAATTCTAGACGTGTTTAAAAGCAATTTCCTGTGAACACAGGCTTGAAATGGTGCTACTGTGCTGCTGAACTCTCCTGACTCTTCAGTCTAGAGAAAGTTTTCTGTATAGCTGAATTCATTAATCCCCCAGGTACTTTTTGTATGTGCCTAGGCAAAGATTCTCACCTGTTTTACACAATTTACCTGAAACATGGCAACTATTGCATTATTTTTACATTTTCTTCTTCTGGTGTCCAGTCTCTGTAAGCATTACTGCTGCAGCACCCACCTAAGGCACTAACTGAATTCTTATGCTCCCAGACATTTCCATCTTGTTCTTTCCAGCATTTCATTTTTTTTCTATCTAGTTGATCTCATAAATGCTATCACCTCGCTCATCTGTTTTTCACCACTGGTCTACAAGAACATTCTTTTCTTTGTGTTCTTTCTCACTCAGCAAAGCTCTAATGTTAGATAGTGGTCTGGGAAACACTAAAGTTGTACTCTTATTCTTTTTAAGCTTTTGTGCAGGGGTTTACCACTTGCCTTGAAGAAAGGCTTGATGTTAAGTACAGCTTCTCTCAAAACTGTTTTTTGGGGAGGTGTTGCAGAGCTTCCTAAAGATAGCAGTGTTGCCTGCACTGCTGCTGGGAGGACAGAAGGCCTGGTGAGGGTTACCTGTGGGCCATCACAGCCCCTGCTGATACTCAAGTGCCTCAGCCATGGCAGAACAGTGGGGAAAATCCAGAAACTGAAATGGGATGAAATTTTAAAACACAGTTGTTTATCCTCCCCACTCTTAGAGAAATATTATATGATAAAACTAATCCAGCTTTGACTTAAAGTATTGAAGAAATGGCAGAAATCTTGCCTAGTTACAAAATAAAACATGTATTTCAGGCATTTTTAAGATTAAAAACTTGGAGTCTAATATATTTAACAATATACCCTCACTAGATGACTTGCAAAAAAGTCCTTGATAAGGTATTATGTGTGACAGCAAATGTCAAAAATCCCTAAAAGGATTCTTAGAATTCTTTCATTAAATGATCTGATTAGCTGATAAGTCATTTGCATTGCATGTAGACTATTTTTCTTGGTCATTAAATGCTTGAACGACTATTCCAAAGCTTTTCATATTAATGCAGAATAAAATATATAGCACAAAAGATGTAATAGACTTCATTCACTACTCCATCATCTTGATACGAGACAAAGAGGTCAATTAGTATGTATTTCTTGGATAAATGATGTGGAAGTCTTGAGTAACCGCTACAGAATAGGTGTAGAATTGAGAAAATAGAACAGTTGCTCAGAAATGAGGCAGTCTGAAGGCCATCTCATTATCAGTAAGCCCCCTCTCTACCCTGATGAGACTTCCTGTGCCCATTACTAAAAATTTGATACTTTAAAGAAAAAGTCTATTTCTTTTTCATAAAACACGAGATGTGCTCTTTCTGCCAGAGCTGTTTATTTCTTTTACTTTGTATTTATATTCCCTGATCCTAGTCTCATTATTCTGTTCCTCAAGTTGGTTTCTTTCTCTCATTTCCCCACTTACAGCACTATGAAATACTGTCAGCAGAGTCAAGAGACAACTGCTTTGATTGGTGCCATAACACTCGATGAACTATTTTCTGCCAGATGAAATAGTTAACTACCCTCAGCCATCTGCAGTAGGCTGCTTTAACTTCTTGGTGGTAATTGCATGTACTAATCTCTGGGGCAAAGAGGTGAAAGGAGCAGGTGGGAAGAAGCAGCTGGGAACAAGACCCACCATTCCAGAATCTGTCATAGAGTGGACATAGTGATATTTTTTTCTCTTTTTCTGACTGATCATACAAGGTTTTCAGTCTTATATGATCAGCTTCACAATTTACCCCAAGAGAAGCTTAAAAAAAATAAAGATGAGCAAGATCCTTTTTCAAGGTTTCAAAATAAAAGGGGTTTTTTTAATGGTAGAATTGTCTTTGAGACAGATTCTGTTACAGACCAAAGAAGTTCACAGACTCTTCAGCTTTCAAGGCTGAGTCTTTTTGTGTGTTGTTGATACAGCATTCATTAGAAGACCATTATTCATAATGTTTTTATTGGTTTGTCCTTTGCTTCTTAAATAGGAATTGGAGAGTCTAAAGCGTGCCCAGAAGCAGGCTGCAGCCACTCAGAGTGCAACAGAGGTTCGTTTAAACAGGGCCTTGGAAGATGTGGAGAAGTATAAAGTGGAGCTGAATAAACTGAAGCAAAGCAACAAGGTACTATGGCTTAGGAAAGCAGTTTCCATTCTGTAATCACTCAGAAAAGCTAGAATGAGATAAAAAACTTGATGGCCTGGAAGCTTCGTATCTCTTACAGGCAGCCCCAAAATTAACTTGGAGAAAGTCACAAAAGGCCTCAATAAGCTATCTTAGAGGATACTACTGCAGCCTCTACAGGAAGAAGAAATGTACAGAATGAAGTTAAAGCCTTTCTGATTTTCCTCATTTGTGTGAAATTGAGACATGTTTAGAAAGAGGGAGAAGTACACATGCACACCTAGCATATACAAAGGCAAACCACAGCTCTTACTGCCAAGATTTTATTTTCTTTTTTAAGCTTTAATGTGGGAGTATTTTGATTAATCCCATTTCTTTTCAGAAGTGTCATGTGTGGCTACTGTTTGTCATTTTCTTATGTAATGCCAGGTTTCATTGGTTAAAGCACCATTTTCGTAATGAATATGTTTCTCCTTTTCTTCCCTTGGTAGGATGTAGCTAACCAAGAACTCAAAACGATTGAAGAGTTAAAAACAGAAAACAAGAAACTGCAGAAACAAAAAGGAGAGCTAATTACAGGTTTTAAAAAGCAGTTAAAGTTAATTGATATTTTGAAGAGACAAAAGGTAAGGAGCAGACTATGGGTGTATTTCAGTTAACAACCTCTAGCTAAATGCATCTACTGTCCAGTAAAGTAATCCTGAAAACTGTGAGTTTACATGGAAGGAAATTAAAATGAGAAGAATCTATACTAAGAGATATTTCCCAAATCAAATTATTTTCCACTTACTAGTTCCATCACACTTTTCACTTAAAACACTTGGGATGTGTGCAGTCATTTCCATCATTGCATCTCCTTCTGAGGCTGCATGAGACATGTAGAGCTATGGGCTGGACAGGACCTTAACACCACAGAGTGGGACACTTCCAGTTACTTACTCTGCAGAATCTCACGGGATTCATTTTGGGATGGAGTCAGTGCACTTCTTGCACTCTCAAACCAAAGCTGTAAGACAGCTAAAGCAAGCAACATATGGTGGCTTGTTGAGCAGAACCCCCTTTGAGAAGGGCCAGCTTTAGAGATAAGAAAGCAGAACATTTTATTTACCTTTTGAGTACTCAGTGATCACCAGACCTTTAGTAAACACTTTTGAAGTTGTTGAGCCCCAAGAGGAAGAATAGTTCTGTATGAAGTGGCAACTTAAGTGTGTGTATTTTGCACCCTGATCCTAAGAACTGGGAATTGCAATATAAAACTACACTTTTGAATCTGGAATACCTCCCCAACACAGAGCAAAGGAGGACAGGTAAGTGGAATAAGAGGAACTGGGACTGCTTATGTATTTCCAATGCAAGAGAATTTTTCTGGCAGTACCAGGATGCAGAGAAGATCCTGGGGATTCACCTAGCAGCAATAGTGCTAGCTTAGCCTTTGACTGGCCCTTCTAGCTCTGCAATTTTATTTTGAGAATGAAAACTACACAGCATTCACTCAAAATATGTTCTTCCAGATGAGGTAGCTTGTTGTCCTCTGGAACATGAATTAACTGGAATGAGTGTCACAGAGCAGCATTTCTGTTTGACTGGGAACCAAATCCATGGTCTCAGACAGATGTCACAAACTGCATTGAATACATTTTCAAGCAATTACAAATGCTGTATCAGAACTGCAGATAGGAGAGAATGCCACTTACCTTTTCTTACAAAAAGTGTTACTCACAGAAGAAGGATGCTGTGAGTTGTTCTTTCTGAAGAGACTTTGACTGGAGGAACATGGAAGAGGCTGGGGCTAACCCTGCCCCTTGCAGCTTCTGGCAGAAGGAACTAGGGAAGGGCAGCTGAAGCTCACATGTGCTCACAAGCAGTGGAAGGACTTCAAGTCTGCTTCAAACAGGCCTTTTGTTGAATCAATTAGGAAAACCTGACTTAGGCTATTTGTGTAGTGTTTGTGTGGCAGGTTCAGATGCACAGAGCAGACAGAGCCTGAAGAATGACAGAGGGAAAACATTCCCCAAAGACCTTAAATATCAGGAGTAGGATGAGATTTGCTTTGTAATAGCTTTAATGTTAAATTGAATATTGATCAGCTTGAAAGAACGTGGACCAGTTTTCTTACATGTGTTCTTCAGAAGTCACAACACTTGTCAGATTTTCAGGAATTTCTGTGCTTTATTAAAATCCATAAAATATCCCAGTTAGCCAGGATTTTGTATTGGTCATTCATACTATTTTACCTTCTGCTCACTTTTTTTTTTTTTCAGATGCACATTGAAGCTGCCAAGATGCTTTCTTTTACCGAAGAGGAATTCATGAAAGCTCTTGAGTGGGGAAATTATTGATCCCATTAAATAGCTTCTGAAAGATGAGTCAGATGGTACATTATTTTGAGACTGTATATGAGTCCTTGTTAATAACTGTATATCCCACTGAATTGATTTTGTTGATTTTACTTATGTTTAAATAGTTAAACTTTTGTAAGCCTGATAGCTTGTGTTGTAATGTTGTATGAAACACAAATTTCTACTTCATTGTCAGGCCAAACTGCCCGTTCTGTAAGGAGCAGAGGAGCACAGACCATGCAAGGAATATTCCAACAAGTGAACTTTGTTATCAGTTTGCTCTGTTCTAGTATTTAAAACTGTACCTTACCTATGGTCATATTCAGTCCAATGGAAGTCAGGATTTAGTCTCAGAAAATTCCTCATTGCAACAGAAATAAACTAACCAGTAATCCACTTGAGAAGAAAATGTCATGTCCTTTTTAAAACACGTGGTTGGAAAATTGGCCTTGTCTGTTTTCTGTAACAGATCTCCCCTCAAAGCTAGCTGGTCTGGCATCTAATTTAAGCACCAACAGCTCTTTTATAGAAATGACCATAACTTGTTTTAGTGATTACATCTGAGCGCCCCTGGCTGGCATACCATGCATGAGACTTGCCCCTCATCACCCAGACAGACTCCACAGTCCCATGGAGCTGTATTGTGGAAAACTGTTCCTTCAGTCAAGGTGAAAGTATTAAACCTTTCCCTGGCCATCAGCTGCTTCTTTGGGATACAGACAGGAGCAAAGACTCCTTATTCACAAATGCTCTACAAGCATCACATCCATAAAAATTTCATTACTCATCATTGTAATCAATAACTAGAAAACAGATTCAGGGTAGATGAGCTGAGCCTATGTTGTGTACATTAATGAACAGGAGCAAAACAAACCTGTGTTGCTTCCTTGAACCTCTGCCACACCTCAGCTATTTCAATGGATTCATCCCTCAGAGTAAGTGAGTAAGAACATGGGACAAAAACAGTCAGTTTATGCACTGAAAGAAAGGTATAAAGAGTAGTTCTGACCTCAGAATGACACAACATATCTGCTTAGATCCCACCAGTGAAGTACCTCAGATCTGCCTCGTGGAGATGAGACACACTACATTTGAATGAATGAGGATTGTAGTAGTGTAGTGCCAGTGCAGACACATCTTCCCAGAACTAGTGCATTAGGAGAATCCTTCAGTCCAGACTGGAATACACATGCTAGGTTAGGTTTCTGCTGCATTGCTGAAGAAAACATTTCTAACATTACTACATGACTGAGAATAATTGAGAACTCCAAAACAGTTTATTGGTGAAAAATGAAAGTGGAGCACACACTTCTATAAAACTAACTGCTTATCCGTTTAGAATTTTGGTTTTAAAATGAAGGCTGTTAATGATATTAAAAAGGAATTCCTCACTGTTTAAAGCAAATGGAAGTTTTCACTGGGAATCTGGTGACACCTAGTGGCAAAGCAGGAGCTGAGCTGGGGTTCAGCTCTCTTCTGAAAGTTCATTACCTCTTCTCTGCTGGTAAGCCAGCCTGAAATCTTCTCCAAGCATGTTAATGTCGTTTTCGTCTTTGAGTATTCCCTGCATTAACGGGAAAGAAACATCAGAAGGTAAAACTGAGCAGAGAGATTACTATGGATCTCTGACATTTTCCGTGGAAGAAAATATGGTATCCATAATACCATAGTAACTTTAAGGCAAGCCTGAAAACCGTCACAAAACCTGAACAGGTGAGTTACAAATTGGTGCTGCCTTTTTTTTCTAACAAAAGACAACATTTAGCTGCATTCTCTTGCTCACAGGAGTGATTAGAGTACAGCACAGGGGCAGGTTTAGTAAAATCAAGCAACTGCAATAAAAAGAGGCCCTGGCTGGGCTGGGCTCTGTCTCCCCCTTTACCTGTGTTGGAGGTAACTCATACAAAGAAATAACTTGGGAAATCAAGTAATGCTGGACAACTTAATCAAAAACTGTTTTTGAGAAGAGAAGCTTCACACAGGAATCTAAATTTCTAATTCTAAATTAATTTTACTGCTAAAAATATGTGCGACCCACAGAACATACCTAGCAACATTTAAAAAAGAGGTAAAAAGTTACAAACTGCATTTATATTGGAAAGTTTCCTATTTGGTAGCACTCTGCTGTTTAACCATTTTGAGTGAAGTAACGTGATGTAGGAACACCCAAATCAAGACACAGTGTTGAAGCAGAGAACAGAAAAGCAGAATATCATACATGGCACATGCGTGAGCCTTGGACACTGAAATTGCCAAGGCTTCCTACAACAGAAAATTCAGACCAGAGAAGTTTATCAAAATGTTCTCAATATGAGTTATCCTTTAATTAAATCTACATTAGAGAACAACTCCAAGTGTTACAAACTCCTGCACCAATTATCATATTACTATTTGAATAAAAGTTAAACTCTGCTCTACTTAAGTTTTTCCAGTATTGCAGAATTTCTTTAACCAGCTGGATAGTTCCCTTTCTACTGTAAATGCATTTTTACATCCCTAAGGCAGCTCTCAGTTCATTTGTGTACTATTAGGAGATCTTTCCAATCATGAAGCACAATACAAAATAAAGTGTAGTTTATTCCTATTGCAATAACTGCTTCCATCTTTTTAACTTTTAAGAACACCGGCATGAACAGAGCAAGCTCTGTAATGCTTCTGTAAATGCTGCAGTTCATTGCACTGCTGCAGAGTCCATAGTTAGGGAATATTTGGCAGACAAGCCAGAGAGCTGCAAGAAATTGCTGCCAAAACCCCAACTGAGAAATTTGGTTTTGGAAACGGGTTTTAAGATGTGGTGGAGCCCTTTCTAGCTAGAGAAGCCCTGCTGTAGAACTCATGTTCCGTATTTCAAACACTGGCCGTGCAAAGCGCTGCGGAAGCTTTCGGCGGGTTCTGTGCAAGGCATCAATAGTGCAGAGAGCCCAAAGCCCCCAGCTGAAAGAGCAGTGCTGTAAACGGGTCCCAGCTCAAAAGCAAAAGGAAGAGGTGAGTGCAGGTGAGCTGACACAGTAAGGACATCCACTGACTCCAGGAACTGCCACAGTTCTGCAACTTCACCTTGAACTATCCAGGACAAAACCAATTTACAGGACAGACATTAAAATTGTTTTTATTAAAATTGTATTTAAAACACAGTTCACTTACTCGAGGAAGATAACCCAGCAATTTCCATGCATGCTCTTTCAAGAGTTTCTGTCTCTCCTCTTCAATAATTGCACGGATACGTTCTTGTCTTCTCTTTTCTAGCTCTCTTTCTTCAAGTTCACGCTCCTACAATAAACAAGTTTGCCTAAGTTCTGTTTCAGCTCTGTGAGCATTTGTTTCCACCACTCTCCACAACAGCATAAAGAGAAAAAATTTTAGCGGAGTAAATTTTGAACTTCCTAATTCCTGGTCACAGGAAATGCTCTTGAAAAGGATAGAAGAGTGTATGGAAAACCCCACAAAGCATTGTTTAAATAATGTCTGTCTGGCAACTGGAAAACAATCTCAGACAAAAGAAAGAACTGAATGGCAAGTCGTGGGGTGAGTCTGCTATCCAAGTGTTTGGTGTCAGAAGCCCTTTTGAAGGCAGGCAATGTTCAGTTCTGGTGGCTTTTTGGCTCTCAGATGAGTTAGTCTGTTCCAGCCCTACTGTTCTAATCCAGAAAGAGGAGCAATAGGTATGAATTCTCACACTGATGACTGGAAATTGCAACTGACATTACACAGGTGATTTATACCCTATACACAGGTCTCAAAACAACAGTATGGGATTCCATGTCTTGCTTTCAGCTTATGCCTTTTTGTCCTCAGATCTCAATAAAAGGGACTTAACCTCAAAGCAAGGCTAGGCCTTCCCCTCCTCACGCATCATTATCAATGCAGCTGACCAGCAGTTGTGTTGCTGATCTCATGGCTCCTGAAGAGGTATTTGCAGTACACAGCTACACAGGAGGGCAGGAATGTTGTTGACCCCCACCTCTTGAGCTACAAAAAAAGTTAGCTCTAAAAAATATCTTTTTCTTGTTAAAAACTGAAACAAAGTCCTGATTCCCCCCACTATTCTCTGCAATTCCTATCACCTTTCCCTACCAACATCAGCATTGTTCTTTAGGATAGCACAAGTATTTCCATATTAAACACAGTGCTCAAACCAAAGGTGCATGTGAAACTCTTACTTTTTCTGCGATACACTGTTTGCGACGGTCCTCAAGAATTTTTTCCATGGCCATTTTGTGTTCAAGCTGTTTCATTCTCCGTTTCTGCGCGTTCAGCTGCTCAATGCGATCATCCTCGGCCAGCTTGGCCAAAATCCGCTGCCGGAGAGCTCTGTCCTCTTCTCTCATAGCTTCTTGTGCTGCTGCCTTTAGAGCAAACTGCTTTTCATACGCTTGCCTTAAGTCTAGGCGCTGCCTTATTCTCTTTTCAATTTCTGCCTATAAAGGAAATATAGTAAAAGGTTACTGAAAATACTTTGAAAAATTCTCATCAGCAGCAGCCAATCTATTCCATTTATCTTGGAATAAATTTACTGTAGCTCTTAACTTCTAGCATAACTAACTGGAGTAAACATTCCGTATCTGACAGTGCTCTCCAGTATTAATCAGCTTGGCAAAAGTCACAAGATTCTCAAAATTAAGTCCAAAACCAAAGGGGATTTTTTTTTCCCACTATGATGAAGGGAATCAACACGACAGTCATCCTGAACAACACTCTAAAAACAGCAGTGTTTGGTATCTCAACAGTATGTTACATTTTGTCACCCACAGCAGGGTAAGACAGAGTGTGTCCAGGCCTATAGGAAATAGACATGCAGAATAAAAGCAGTTAATTAATCTGCTTAGCTTAAATCTAAACTTGAAAGTTACTGGTATTCTCCTTCACGTGATAAATAAATGTATAAATGGGTCACAAGGGTATTCAAAACCTTTACTTGCCTTCCTGGTTGAAATTAAATACATTAGGAACAGAAAAGGAAACGCAAAGAACAAAATTTTCTCTCCGAAACCTAAGCTAATCTATAAACTGCCTGTCTGACTGAGAATTTTTAGAAAATAGAGTTGAAAATAAATACTTTGTGCTAGAACATAACTGAAAACCCCAAAATCACAAACAACACTGCAGACTTAAAAATCCAAAGCATGGAAAAAAAATCCTTTGTGTACCTGCCAGCACTTACCATCTCCTTATTCCTTTCCATCGCTTCTTGTTCTTCCAGATACAGATCTTGGAGGATTTGTTCCTGTTCTTTACGCCTCTGTTCTTCTCTTTCCATGGTCTTGGCAACCTGTTACAAGAAGGAAAGGTTTCTAAATGAAAGACAAAAACATACAACAATTTTTTCTACAATTTCAATTTTTCATACCATGTCTTGAACTCTCTGTTTTTTCTCCTCAGTGTCTCGAACTTTAGCCATCCAACCATCTTCTCTTTGTCGTTGCATGTTGGCAAACTCCATAATTTTCCTATTTTCTTCTTCCATCTCTTCTTGTTTCCTTTTCCTCCAGATAGCTTGTTCTTTTATAAACTCTTCAATATATGTCTGAGTTTCTCTTATTTTATCTAACTTCCGTTGTTTTTCCCTGTAGAAGATGGAAAAAACCTGTTAAAATAATTATTTAACATACTGTAGAGTAAGCAAGTATTTAACCAGATGCTCACCATTAACAACATATTCCTGAGACTAAGATTCAAATTACTGTCCTTAACCATTCAGCTGGAAACTGGACAGCTAAATTGACAATACTTAGTAATAAACTGCCCCAAGAAGGGACTTTCATGTCTAACACCCTTCTGGAAGGCAGACTGTACACAGAAGTACACACTGCTGCTGCATTTTATATATGCCCCACCAAAGAGAAAGAAGAAAAGAAAGCCCAATAGCACCACAACCCCTGAACTTTTTATTTACACTGAACTCTCCCTGCCTCCACACACAAAACTCTGCCCTCAGAAACCTCCTTCCCTGTTCCTAAGACATGCAAACAAAGCATCTGGTGGCAAGGCAGGGACACAAGGAGAGGTAGAAATGTGAAATATGCTGTTGTGTCCAACATGATGAGCCCAATGGAAGCCCTCCTGCAAATAAGCTGGATTTCATATTTGGGGAACAAGGACACAAGAGTGACTAGGACATTCTGAGGTTTCAACAGGAAAATTCATGCAAGTTTCTTGTTACTAAAATGTGACCAAGGGGAACTAAAATGGGCCTTAGTATATAGGGAATAAGTGCATGCAAATTAGCTTTCTCTGCAGAATTATATGAGTTGCTTTGTTTTAAATTAATAAATAATAAAAATTCAAACTAACTAACATTTGGTCTTCTTCATAGATCTTTTTTACAATTTCATCAATCATGTGTTTCTCTCTTAGAAACTCTTCATAAGCCTCTTGCTTCTTCTTCTCCTGTTCCTCAACCTGTTTGTCCAGTTCTTGATGGTATGTTTTCTTCTCCTGGTGTCTCCTCAGTTCTGCAGACATTTCTTCTTTCAGATACTTGTCATACTCCTCCTTCATCTCCTGGGCTACTTCATCCTCCCATTTCTAGGGAGAAAAAGGCAATGCAAGATTCCTTTTCACTCCCACTACTACAGCTTGTAAGGAAAAAATACACACTATGGAAAGGAACTATGCAGCATTACCAGAAATGAAAGTCTTCACCTCAATCTATAAATATAGAGCCTTAACATGCTTAATAGCTTAATCCAGTCAGTAGAAGCCTTGAAGGGCACCCTCAAGATCTGACCAACTGGAGGAGCACTAAAAATACTTAAAGAACAAAGTACTGAGCATTTGAGCTCAGGTGTGGAACTCACTCACATGAGCACAATGACTGGAACGAGGCTGGGCTACAGAGAACACCCTCAACGAGCACATTGCTATACAGCAACTGCCTGACTGAACCCTGTATAAAGCATTAACACCACCAGAATCACCTGCCTGATCACCAACATCTTTGTATAGATAAATACAAGTTTGCAAGTCTTTCTGAAGTTACCCAGATCACTGTTTGGAAAGAGTAACATTGTTTTCAAGAACCAGACTATGAGGTAAGGATTCACCACTGTAAACACTGTACAAAGGGTATCATAGTTTTGATTTTGGTAAATACTACAAAACCAGTAAAATAACAACTATAACCAGTCATACAACTAATTCAATCACTACTCCTTCAATTGCAATGGCAAAGTAAACCTTTTTCTTATAGCTAGTTATTACTGGTTAATTAATCCTTCATAACACAAAATATACTTTCAATAACATTGAATGCTTGAACAGTATTTTAGATTTAAAAAAATCAAAGGAAAAATCTTCTACACAATCCATACAAAGAGTTACGTGACTCAGGTGCTGGGATACACTAATTACCATGTTCTCATTGTATATAGCTTTTTTTTCAGCAATCTGTGCAGCTCGTTCTTTATTCATATAAGCAGATTTCAGCTTTCTTTCTAACTCTCGAAGTTCAAGACTGGAGGGGAAAGAAACAAATTATCCTATTACAAGGGGGTAGGTATCTAGGGGAAGAAATTACGTTTCCATCACTATTTAAACATAGTATTTTTCATTGGGGCAACCCTGATGAAAAATATTGCTCTAGTTAAAGGGCAGAAAAAGAAAAAAAAAAATCCATTTAAAAACAAGAGTTACCTATATTTTTACATGTGCTATTGACAGTTCTGCATACTTCACTTCTAACTATATAAGCACAGGTACACGTACATACACATGTTTGCTCACAGATATGCCCAAGTGTACATATACATATATTCAGAATGAAAATTTTGTGGATCAACGATTTTTATTGACATAATTTGCTTAAAATTAACTTATTATTATACTCTGATCACAAAGTAACTTTTCCTTCCAGGTCTGAGTTGTCTGCACTCCTGCTACAGCTTTCCCAAATCTGATAAACAGGAGCAGCCAGTTTGATACAGCTGGGAAATTTCTGAATTACCTGTTTGCTCTGACTTGTTGCCTGATCTTCTCATCTTTCATTTTCTCCAGGTCCTGTCTCGCCAGCTCAGCCGCCAGCTTTTGCTCTCGCTCCAGCTGCAGCGCTCTCTGCTTTCTGTTCTCTTCTGCCTGATGAGAACAAACAATTTCCGTACCAACTCTCGCACTGAGAGAAGGCAAGGAGACTGTGCAGTCAAGCAAGACTTTGCAAGTCAGTAAATAATTGTTAATGGGGGAAGCTTTTGACAGGCAAAGGTAAAGCCAGGCGAACTCTTGTCCTCACCTTCCCCCTCCCCGAGCGCGGCCGCCCCCGCAGCTCTTACCGCCCGCAGCGTCTCATCCAGCCGCCGCTCCCGCTCCAGCTCGGCCCGCAGCCGGGCCGCCCGCCTGCCCCACTCCCGCTCCTCGGACGCCTGCGGGCGACAAGGGAGAGGCGGTGGCGCAGGACAGCCGCGGGGACCCGCTCCTCATGCCACCCCCGTCACGGTCCCGTTCCCCATGCTGCCCTCGGTCCCTCTCCTCTCACGGTCCCGCTCCCCTTGCCGCCCCCAGCCTCACTCCCCTCACGGTCCCGCTCCCCTTGCCGCCCCCAACCTCACTCCCCTCAGGGTCCCACTCCCCATGCCGCCCCCAGTCTCGCTCCCCTCAGGGTCCCACTCCCCATGCCGCCCCCAGTCTCGCTCCCCTCAGGGTCCCGCTCCCCATGCCGCCCCCAGTCTCGCTCCCCTCAGGGTCCCACTCCCCATGCCGCCCCCAGTCTCGCTCCCCTCAGGGTCCCGCTCCCCATGCCACCCCCAGTCTCGCTCCCCTCAGGGTCCCACTCCCCTTGCCGCCCCCAGCCTCGCTCCCCTCAGGGTCCCACTCCCCATGCCGCCGCAGTCTCGCTCCCCTCACTGCCCCCCCTTTACCATCCCGCCGGCCGTTGCCGTGGTAACGCGCGGCGCCGCCGGGCTCCAGGACACGGTTTCACTTCCGGGGAATCGCCCTCGCTGATTGGCCAAGATGGCGACCCGACCCCGACACTCGTAGCTAGTGGGCGGGGCCATGGGTGAGTGACGTCACCGCGAGGGGGACTTTGAAAGACGATATTTGATCGCATTTATTGAATCGTGACTTTAAATTAATGCACTTGACTCACCTCTAAACACCAACCCCAGGTGGCAGCGTTTAATTAAGAATTTATCCGCTTCACAGCTATGACGACGAATCTGCAGCAGGTATGGGAAATAGAGGCACAGGGCAGAACACAACAGCCAGAACATGAACCACGATCACAAAACAATGATTCTGGTGAGGTTATTTGGTACAGTGTATGCTTTATTTGGGAAAACGAAGCCCTCGATATCCTTACACCGAGCACAACTGCTCCCTACAGTTTTCCCGGATTGACTCTACTCCAGGAAGGAAATCAACGTTGTGGCACCTAATTTCCAAAGCCCTTCCCACCCACTTTCCTCACCTTAATGTTCTTTTCCACATTGTTGAGTAAAACTAAAGACATTTAAGCTTATTTAAAGCAGTATTTCAAATTCATTAATGTAATCTACTTTATAAAATTAATTTAAATTAATAAAGCTTAAAAGAAGAACACCTCTGAGAATTAGGTAACAAGTGTGGTTGTTTCTACTGACGCAGTGCTGGCTGTAGATGTGTCTATATCTTCTTGGGATGAGAACACTTATTATTTTAAATATTTTACAAATTTCCCCAAATTCCAGGAATTCTTTCTGAAGCTTTGGTTATTCTCTGTCTTTTTAATGAGAAACGCGTTTTCCCACAACGCTTGGGGAAGGGAGGAATAAACTACAGGAGACCATGTCTTTAAAAGATACAAGCAGAGAGAGACGAGACAGAAAAAGACCGTAAACGTTCCCTAACTCTTCTTTGCAAGTGGTGTTACCACTACACTTCCCTTTTCAACATTAGGCAAGGAAACAAGTAAATGTCAACCCCCTCCAGTCCCCCAGTGATTCCAAGGCATTGACTTAGAAAGAAGGAATCTTCTAACTACTCTGGCACAGCAGTGACTTTGAGTGCTCAAGGTTTGGAGGTGGCAGGACTCGGGGGAGAAAGATGCAAAAGATATTTTTGCTGTCCCTTCTCCTCAGTAAACAGCTATGCACCTCACTGGAAATAAACAGAATTTTCTTTCTTGCCAAACAAAAGAAGAAAATTAAGTCCCTGCCCTTCACTTCAGGAAATAAGAGCAAATAACCTTGAGATGTAAAATGTCATCTTTGTTCACATGACATCCTCCTTTTGGAACAGCGACCCTCTAAAAGGAGAGCACAAGCATACCTTGAGTCAGTCTCCAGGACAGCAAGGCACTCAGACAGAAAAGTGGGAGTAAAAATGCTTGAGCAAAATATATACCAGAGAACAATGGGCCAGTTCACAAAGTTATTTTTAAAATTAAGAGGTGGCTTGTATTTGCATGTAAAGTATTTGTTAGCAGTGTATCTTTCACAGACAAGACAGAACACAGGACTAATACCCTGAAAGATTCCCAGTGGAAAAAATATTTGAGGTTTCTAGTCCTTGGAGCCTCTACTGTTCTTTCCCATACATTTCACATTTGCTGAAGTGTGCTTAAAATACAAAGAAGAAAAAAAAATGCAACCAGAGAATTCTTTTGCCCTCATTACCTTATAGAACTTTGTGCTCAGAATCTCTTACCTTTAATGGCCTGATTTTTTTCCCCAACATAATTTAAGCACAGGGATAGCTCAGTAAACTGTGCCTGCAGATTTCCAAAGGAAGGTAAGTAACCTTCCAGCACATAGTCACTCCACATATTGAACAAGGGGAAAATAACCCAGAAACTCCACAGAAACATCCAATATGCGCTTGCCTCGTTCTCCCATTAAATGGAATATGTAAGAGATGGAAAACAATTGTTTCCCTCAACTTAGATGCAACTGCTGGTTCCATCTCTTGAGAGCACCCCCAGGAACTGCAGGCTGCTCTCCTAAAGCTTGGGCATCTTAATTTTCTTGTTCCCTCCCTCTGCGTCCGGCCAGAAGCTCCCCGTTTCAGTTTGTAACCACGGCTGCTCTGCAGCCCCCAGGCTCTGACTGCACCTCCCTCTTGGTTCATACTCATCTGCACCTGGCCAGCATTTCTGTGCCAGGCCCTCCTGGCACATCCTGTTCTGCTCCTCAAGGTCATCCCAGTCGGGTGCTCCTCCTCCACCGGAGAGGGAAGCACCTGGTTGTGCTGCTGCTCCTCCCAGCTGTGCACTCACAGCAGGTCACTGCTCCCTCGTGCCTTCTCGTTTGGGAAGGAACGGAGCGCTGTGCTGAAGACCTTCCTTCTCCTCCTGTCAAAAAGCAGAGCTCCTTGATGGCACTGATTAATTTCTCAGTTCAAGACCTAAGAATTTCACACTTGCAGAGCAGAGTTTAGTCCAGGCAGAGTTGCTCTGCTCTTCTAAAGAAGGAGAATAAAAATGCACTGTTTTAGCAACCAGCTATGTCAGACTCCTTAGAAATCCAGTGTGTTTATATTTAAGTTTTGTTTCCATTATGGAGCTTTTAGAATAACAGATAATGAAATATCTACCTTCCTGTAGTATGGAAAGGAATGAGTCCCAGCTGCATGACTGCTATCAAACTCTTATTGCATAGAGCATTTCTTTTTGCAGCAGCCTGGTTACAGCTATAGGTCAGTGACCTGATTCTCATTTCTTTTTCCTAAGAGCACTAAACCCTCCTAGAGCCTGAAAAGCTTTTAGGTAATCAGCAGCCAACTGTACAAATTAGAGTTAAACTCAGCAGTCCTTACTCAGGGTTAACACAGCATCTTAATAAATGAGTCAGTTCTTAAACTCAGTACCAGCACCCACTGATGAACTCCTGACAGCAAAGGGAAGACTGCTGAGAAATGCTAATGGTAAAAACAATGAAATGGAGCATTAAAAGGAAAAAGTAAGTTCCCTGTATTTAGCAGTTTCAGTTGAAGGTGATACAGGAACACGTAGCAGGAAAGGTCATTAAATGAAAATGGTGAAGCCATTTTGCAGGTTTACCTCTTTTCTAGGGCATTTTACCAGATGATCATAACATGAGACAGTGACAAATGAATTCCAGCTGAGATAAGATATGTGGGTCATGCTGACTTTGCAACATTATAAACCACTATTGGGGATAACACAGCTTCTCTGTGAGGTAATTTACCTTCTTTGGATGAAAAGATAAATGTGAATTAACAGGGAAGAGACTGAAACATCTGAGCTGTGTTATTGATCTACTAAGGACCTAGATAAGTCACAGAGAAACTAATGCTTGCTTTGCTTGAGATTAGTGATGGATGGGACAGCAGATTTAGCAGCTAAGGGGCTATCACTGTCAACAAAGCCTAAACACTAATTTTTTTTTTTTAATTATCCTGGAGTAGTAGGGAAAATATGCCCCATAGCAGCAGTAGGCAGAAGCAATCTTTTACTCATGACATGATGGACTCTAAACTAAAACATTACAAGAAACAAAAATACTCAGTGCTTCAAACGTGTTCAACAAAAATACATCTGTTTCTGATGAGACAAATGTGGGTTTAATAAATATTTAGTTGTAGGACTCAGTTTTCTGAGGGGAGCACATAATGCTTTCTGCTGAGAATGCCAGGCTTTCTGCTTCACCTCTAAGAATTTTTTTTAATACCTGGTCTGGGGACAGAAAATACAGTTCTTCTGCAAAGATTGTTGTAAAACACTGCTATAATGACACTTCTGGTTTTTGCAGCAAGACCTTTATCCACTTACCTACGATAACCAATGAAATAGACTAGGTATCCTAATTTCAAGCAAAAGGACTGAGTCCTTACTTAGGAAACTGAATGGAAATGATTTTTAGAAGAGAATCTAAAGGTTTATGAGTATGAAATTTCTGTTTTTAAAAGGTTTTTTAAAAAGTGTCTATTTACTGAGATTTTGACATGGGACCTCTTATACAACTATTTGTCAAAAGGTGCCCTTCAAGATAACAAGCTTCATTTGTAGCTTTTCATTTGAAAGGAAAGATTAGATTTTTTCCTATTCTGGCCTATCCTTGTCTTTTCTGTGAGGGGTGTAGAGGAGGCATTTGAATAACCAGCCTGCAAGTTTGTCTGCCAAAGTGCCATTGAATAGACAGAGGGAAAACTAAAACCAGTCAAGGCCTCCACCCACTGACCATCCCCCCAGCTGATTTTGGCTGGAATTAAGCACTGAACATGGTTTCCTTTTCAGTATTTTGTATGCAATGCCATCAGAACATGCACCTCTGGGAGAAAGATTTGTAATTTCCAAGGCTGAATGACATATTGCAAAATAAGCTATTAAGTGCTAAGCTTCACAACTCTTCCCATAGCAGCACCCATAAGAAAGCATACACTGAGCAAAAGGGTGAGATGGCATATGCTTCTTGGGGACTGCCCACTCCTGGGAAGCACCAAGTCCAGGTGCTGCCATGTGTTCTAACTGGAGTGCAGACTTGAAAGCACCAGGAAATGTACTTAGAAGTAAGAACCCCCTTCATTCCTGCAACATACTACCAAACACACATTCCAAAGAGTTCAGTTCAGCTTTTGTGAATAATTAAAAAGCTGAGGAGCTCCTAAGGGGAGCTTAGCAAAGAGCAGAATACTAAGAAAAAAGATGTCTGCTGCCAACAGAGTATTAAACAAATTAATCTGTAGCCATAACCTCAAGCCAACCAACAGAAAGGGCAACTGAAGGGCAATAACAGAAAACAAACATCAGTCCCAGAAAGGCTGAGAGCAAGGTGAAAGTCATTCTGCTGCCTGCATCCATCTCTTACACTGGCATTTCCTCCTGCCCAGCAGCCTTGGCAGAGCGTTGTGATGAGCCCCAGGCTGGTGGAGGCTCTGCTTCCCTGCCCCACACAGGGATGTGTCTGGAGGAGTCCTGGGGCATGTTTAGTCAAATCACTGATGTTTTATTCAAGAGCTTTTAGAGAGGAAAAGAGAACACAGTGGTTACTGATTTTGCTGCTGCTAAAACAGCAATTTTGTGCTCCAACAAAAATCCCTCAGTGAAGCGGTGAATTGGCTCTGCATTGCTGTGGGCCAGACAAAGCCCACAGATTTGTGTCTGTGAAATGT